GAGCCTGTCCTGGAACTCACTTTATAGACCAGACTGGCCTTGAACTCACAGGATCTGCCTGCCTCTGCTTTCTGAGTGCTGACACTGCCCAGCACAGCTTACTTTCTTATTCCAACCAGGATCCCATGTCCAGAGATGGCATTGTCCAGAGTAAGCTGTGTCCTCCCTCATCAGTCATTAGTTAAGAAAATGCCCTGCAGACTTGCCTACAGGCCAATCCTTTGGAGGTATTTTTTCAATTAAGATCCCTTCTTCCAGGATGACATGACCTTGTGTCAAGCTGTCATAAAAACTACCCAGCACAATTGACTCCCTGTCAACTTGACACACAAACACATCACTTGCTAAGCTATAACAGTTCCTTTCTTGTTATCCCCAAGATGTTATATTAATATTTCAATATAAACTATTCCATCTTTTAAAAACCCCACAGTCTTTAAAAATTCAAACATTATATAAAAGTTATATCCAGTGTCACCGGCATAGTGGCATATACCTTTAATAACAGTACTCCCGAGTCCCTGAAGAGAACCCAGGAAAGGCTACTAAATAAGGTACTGCCCAGGTGCAGCAGAAGACCCCAACATTTTGGAGATATCAGTACCATGGGACAACTATCAAAGACAGCAGCAGCTATGGGTACAGTCAGCTTGAGCCTAGGAGTCAAGCTGTGTGTACGATGAGTGTCAGAACTAGAAAAATGGAGTTGCCTCAAGGCCTACTAGAGCCCAGAGGATTATGAGTGGCTCCCGGATGTCAAACACTGAACTTTTTATGCAGTTGAATTTTGGTTTTGATTTGATTTGATTTGATTATAGCTGTGTCTTGGTTCTTCCCTCTAGAATAAGAAAGTATTTAACTTGTGTTTTGATTTTAAAGGAGCTCATTGTCAAAGACTTTGAAATTTTATGGCAATTTTGAAAATTTGGGGAGACAATGGATTTTTTCCCCAAGAGAGGGTTTCTCTGTGTAGCCCTGGCTGTGCTGGAACTCACTCTGTAGACCAGGCTAGCCTCAAACTCACAGAGATCCCACTTGCCTCTGTCTCCCGAGTGCTGGAATTAAAGGTGTGTGCCAAGGCTCGGTTCTGGTTTCCAACTGACCAGAATCATGGATTCTTAATTCAAAGTACCTAACAGCCCTCTTCAAGTCTTTAAGGACTCTCGCACTTCCCTCTGAAACCGCACAAGCCAGGCCGTCCATCGTCTGCCCTGCTCTCAGCAGTGTCTTCCAGGTTCCCACGACAGCTGGGTCAGCACTGTGCACTCCACAGCTTTTCCAGCCCCAAATTCTAAACACCTCCACAGTCCTCCCCCAAACACCATGGTAGGTCAGTTACAGCAATACTCCATGAACCTGGCACCAAGCTCTGTCTTAGTCAGCGTTTCTAGGGGAGAATGGGTTTATTTATTTCCCTTATACTTCCATATCCTAGGCCGTCACTGAAGGGAGTCAGAGCTGGAGGCAGGAGCTGAAGCAGAAGCTGTTAGGGTGCTGCTTACTAGCTTGATCTCTATCCTGCTTCCTGACAGCATACAAGCTACCAGCCCACGGGATGGCGCCACCCACAATGGGCTAGGCCCTCCCACATCAATCACTAATTTAAAAAATGCACCAAACCAATCCTTTTCTTTCTTTCTTTCTTTCTTTCTTTCTTTCTTTCTTTCTTTCTTTCTTTCTTTCCTTTCTTCCTATTCCTCCCTCCCTCTCTCTTTTCTTTTCTTTTCTTTTCTTTTCTTTTCTTTTTTTTTTTTTTGAGACAGAGTTTCTCTGTGTAATAGCCCTGACTGTCCTGAAACTCCCTTTGTAGACCAGGATGTCCTCAGACTCACAGATCTGCCTGCTTCTGCCTCCTTAGTGGTGGGATTAAAGGTGTGTGCCACCACCATCCGTCCTTACAGACCAATCCTATGGAGGCATTTTCTCAACTGAGCGTCCTTCTTCCCAAGTATTCCTAGCTTGTGTCAAGTTGACATAAAACTTGCCAGTAAAACCATGGCCTATTTCTCCTTTAGTAATTTATCCCAAGGAAATACTCAGAAACATTTCCTCTGTAAAAATGTTGAGTGCATGTTATTTATGGCAACCCAGTAAGAGGAAGGGTCATACATTGTCCCACAGTGAGGACATGTGGAATGGGTTATGACACACTCACATGTCAGAATTTCTGTATAGTCACTTATAGTGCAGGAAAATACCCACAGTCTAATGTAAAACAGAAGGAAGAGACACCCTTTATATACAAGAGTGATGCCAAGATTTTAAAATTAAATTACATGTGCCCCCATTGATTTAAGACAGCCAGAGAAATGCCACAGGGTGGGCGGATGGCCTACGGTTCAGAAACGCGGTTCCTCACGACTCTGGAGTCAGAGGCTCAGATCATAGTGTCAGTTAACTCACTTTCTTTGAACAGGCTTCTTCTGGCATGGAGGCGGCCATCTTTCCCTGTGTCCTTTCTTGGCCTTGCCTCTGTCTGGTCACTTCTGTGGTGTGTGTTCCTCTGTATGAGGACACTGGCCATGTGTGGTAAGGTCCATCATTTTATGTTAGTTCCATCTCTAAAGGACCTGTATGAGAGCTTCAGCATATGGACTCTGGGGCAGATGGATTCGGGAAGGTGAGCTCAAGCTGTGGCAGTACATTGTGAAGATGTGGAAACACTTCCTAAATGGTGCACTCATAAGTCATTTTTAAACTATTTTTCCTCACTTACATGTTTTCTGCCAATATGTGAGCCCTTTTGTATAAACGGGGGTGGGGGCAGAGAATGTTCCTTTGTGTGTGTGTTTGTACATGGGTTTGTATTGAGGTGACGCTGTGCAGCTGCATACGTGTGCATGTGGAGGCCGTATGTCAATGTGGATATCTGTGATTGCTTCCCTTGTCTAATTTTTGGGATAGGATGTCTTCCTGAACCTTGAGCTCACCTCTTTTCACCCCCGGCATGTCACCACACCCAGCTGTTTTGAGGATGCTGGAGATCGTGCTGAGCTCCTTGTGTTCCTGCCTCAAGCATTTTACCAACTGAATCATCTCCTAGGCCAAAAGGAAACTGTTGCTGTGTTACCCTCTTTGAAGGAGAGACAAGGCTGAGTGGCCGACAGGGCCAGTTCCTCAGAAGTCTAACTGTGTGGTCTGTTTGGTGGAGAACTGTCCTGAGTGTGGGTGAGGGGACATGCTGGCCTGCAGCATGGTGACTCACGTGATAACCCTGAAGAGCCCGGTCGGACACTGTGGAACACGGTAGAGTCCCTCCCGTGTGATCACGTCTGTGGGCTCGTCTGGGCCGTGTGGCCGAGTGAGGAATGACAGCGTATGGGGCCTGCACGGAGCTTTCCTGGTGTGGCTGTGCTGATCACACAGGCTGCTACAGACTTGAGAGTCCATTACGCTGTGCGTTCAGTCTGTGAGCTGAGGTTACGCCGCTGCTGTGGATGTTAGGGAAAGTGTTGTAAATGGAAGGGAGGACTGGGAAGAAACAATCCCCGGAGCCTTTGGGAACCAGGCCATCACATTTGCTAGTGTATGCGGCAGGCTGTGATTTTGTGGGCCACAGGACACTTTAGGGTTTGGAGGCTATGGAAGCTGCAGTAAGTGTTTTGGGGAGGGGTCTCCACACCACTGGGCCTTCACCACTTCATAATCCTGTGCCACAGGGTGAGGGTGTGTCACTGATTTGTGTAGAATGAAGCAGTGGCATGAAAATGGGAGCCTGTTAGGTGAGCCAGGCAGGGCACAGCAATCTTTTTGAATTTATTGGCTCATTAATATTGTGAAGATGGGTATGCTTCTTTATAGCCGCATTAGATACTTATCTTTCTAAGGACACAGGGATCGGTACAGTGCTACAAGAGAGAATGTACTTAAAAATCACAACATTACCTGCGGTAAAATTATCATAAAAACTACCTGGAGCTCAAGCAGGCCATGGCTGCAATTCTGCCCCCATAATGACAGGAAATGGTCGTCAGTGAAGTTGTTTTCCATGAAGCTGTGATGAAATCAACTAAAATGGTAATAAAGCAGGGTGTAAAAGTGAGGGACTCAAGTGAGATGTAAAAGTGCAGAAGGTGTTAGAATGTTCGCATTGGCATCTTCCAGAAATGAATCTGTAAAATAGCAAATATGACTTGATTGAGGTTTTCATTCAGAAATGTATCCCTGCAGTGGGTTCCTCAGTGCCTCTCCCCTAACCACAGCCCTGACGGGACAGCTGCTGCTTGGCTCTAGTGGTGGGCTTGGGGGCAAGTGATAGTTAGAAAAGCTTGAAGCCCCATTTCCTTCCTTCCGACTCTAATCAATCACCCTGGGTGATTCAGTTTCCCCGGTGTTGCCCTGATGAACTCATGTTCAGCAGATGCATGTTACAGAGAAGAGGGGTGCCCACTGACCTCAGTCACTAACATACCCACTACCGGAGACGTTCTATACTACAGGAGTAACTTTCATATTGACACTGTATTCCGAATGACAAATCTGCCCCCTTGTCACTGTTGCTGTCACCAAGAGGCCAGACGCCACCCCGTCTCCTCTAGTGTCAACTGTCTGGTCTCCCATGTCCTCTAGTCCGTCTCAGAGTTTAGCCTATCCGAAGGCACCTTGACTCACATAGGACTTTCCATTGCCCATGGGGTAAAGTTTGGAGTCCTTACCACGGTTCTCACTGTCTGGTGCGAGCATATTTGCCCCATCTGGTACAGGTCCTTGCCTGGCTTTCCGTGCTCAGGCCTGGCAGGACTTCTCACCCAGAGACCACAGGCCTTTACCCTTGCCACTCTTCAGGGACACTTCTCCATGCTCCCTTCTTCATACCCTCACGTGACCGTCCCTTACCCCTTTGCTCAGGCAGTCTCGTATTAACTTGAATTTTCTATCTATTGTCTCTTCTCTACCTCTCTTTCTCCTAGTCGGCTAAGTTACTTTGATTTCTTTTAAAAAACAATCTGTTATTTGCTTGTAGTAGTTAGTTAAAAGTTAAAACCAAATATAATGTATAGAAAAGTATGAAGTGCTTCATGAATATGGGTGTCATTTTTGTGCAGCAGCCATGCTAATTAATCTTTGTGTCATTCCAGCTTTGGTGCATCTGCTGCTGGAGCAAGCGCCGTATTGAGTAAATTTCTTTGCCGTTCAGAGGTCCCGAATGTTCCTCTTAGACTACTTATTTTCATTTGTGACCATCTATTTCTTCACATTGTTCTCGGTAGTAGGAAGGACTGGGACTAGGGAGGGGTTTGTGAACTGCTCTAGTAGTGCCTGGATTCTTGACAAATAGACAAAAAGGAAGGGGGAAAGAAGGATGGGAGGATGGGTGGACAGACAAAATGACATATTTCACTCTGAGGACCAGCTCATCAAATCCCATTCCCACTTTGCTTTTGAATTTTTCTATAATAAGCAAGACAGAATCTCTTGAGTGCAGTGGATGTGTGACTGATGAGAACTGACTGCATCAGTAATGTCGGCTCATAGAAGGCTTCTCTCCCGAGCCTTTCTGATCTAGAACAAAAGGGGAAACTCACCTGTAGTTTGGGGAGGTTTGTTTGGTTTCAAATAAGAAATGGAAGTAGAGTTATGTTAATTACAGACCTCAGATCATAATGTGTGCTCCTGGTCTGTGCAAGGCCTTCTCTTGGACAGGTCCTCTTGGAGCCCTCTCTTGGTCCCTTCTCTGTGTAACAGCTCTAGCGTATTTAATGATTTCCTTAATGTGTGTGTTTTTCCTTTACAAGAATAAGGCTAACAGTTGCGGGCGTGTGTTTTGATTTTAAGAGCTGTTCTGTGCTATGAGTAATCCTGTATGTTAAGGTCTACACATCACTGTGTCTTGGTATCCTCATGATTGTGATCTTGTATTAGTGAATTTCTGCAGTCCCCCTGAGTGCTACACAGCTGACACTTTGGCATCTTGTCACCCTCTGAGCGTCCCGCAGGTCCACGCTGCTGTCCTCCCCTCTTCGATGCACGATGCACTGGTCTCCCTCTGTGTGACCGTGATGCACTGGTCTCCCTCTGTGCGACCGTGCGTAAGAGGGAGGTCCTTGTGTATGAAGGCTAGCAGGCTCATCTTGCCCCGTGCTTCCTGATGACCTTGCTGCCTGCCCATTGCCAGTTCACAGTCTCCCCACCAGCACATCATATGTGTGGCTTTGTGACTGTACCAGCCATACAGGAGTGTTTCATCGTTTTTGTTGAAATTGACACTCTTATTTCTACCCGGTTTCTCACTGTTATTGTTACCCTCACCCGACTGCCAGCCACTGCCTTTCTCCTCATCCTCCCCAGGGCTTGTTCACTCAGCAGTGGCCCTATGTCCCCTCTAGGCCATCTCACTGTTCTCTTGTCTCCACCCACGGGCGTCTAACTGGACCCCTCCTTTGCTCAAAAGCATTCAGAAATCACAGGCTTTCTCACCTTTGACCTGCTGGAGGAGAGACATCCTGATAATGCTTATACTTGTGTTTCTTGGGCGCTTGCCCATAAGTTTTCAAAATAACTATTTTGAAACAACTGGCTAATGCTTATTTTAGAATTTTTATACCTATTTGCTCAAGTAAAAAGGACTTATTCTTGACTGTCTCTAGGCTGGTTGGAAAGCAAAGCTATATTAAAATACCTTGAGTAGCCAGGCATTGGAGGTACACAAGCACCTTTAATCCAGCACTCGGGAGGCAGAGGCAGGAGGATCTCTGTGAGATTGAGGTCAGCCTGGTCTACAGAGGGAGTTCAAGGACAGCCTCCAAAACAATATAGGGAAACCCTGTCTCAAAAAACAAAACAAACAAAAAAGCCTCGAGTAGTTTCTTCCTCTTTGCTTTGTCTGGACAGCAAAATGCACATTTTCTAATTCTTGACCTAGGTGGCCTTCAACATTCTAGCTATGAACTTGATTTGCTGAGCGACCTTCCTGCAGGGTTCTCACCAGCACTTTACTGGGTAGAGGAAACATGGTGGTCTTGGTGGGGGTTAAGAGACTGTGGGCACAGAGTAGTGTGATAGTGTGTGTCCCTTCTGTGCCACTGTCAGCTGCAGAGCAGCTGCATAGTGAGTTGGTGTCATCATCCAGTCATCTTAGCCACAGGAATTTTGATATGTACATTGTGTCTAATAGGATAGTCTCCTGGCCAGTCCTCCATAGAAACAAGCTTCTGGACTGTACTCCTGCATCCTTTCTGGATTCTCCCCCACTCCTGTGTTTGTGATTGTTATGGCTCCTGAGGGAAACTAAGTCATTTGAGTTTAAATATAACAAGATTGCCAGAGGGTGAGTTTGGCAAGATTGGAATAATGGGCAGTCCAGGAAGCGGGTTTGGGCTCTGTACATTTTCCAGATACGGAGACTTAACTCCCGAAGATAGGTGGACTTCACCACTCAGAGCTCATTACGTTAGTGTCCACACGGCAGCTGAGAAGGATGGGCAGTGTATACACAGTCTGGTTAATTTAAGCACTTCAGTCAGCCTTGCATCGTGACTTTGGGCTCAGAACAGGATCAGGATTCGTGGCGCTGCTGTTCTGACATCCCCCATTCTTCTGAGGATGTATTGCTTTAAACCATAATAGTAATTTTCATATCATGTTATTTTTATTTTTCAACTGGTTGAAGACACAGCCAATGCAGAGGATATTATTCCTCAGACAGTAACCGCCTGGCACGCACAGCCTACATAATGGCAATTAAACTGAGCTCCAGACTCACAAACAAGCTGTAAAGCAAGGCAGGGTTTCTGTGCAAGATCAGTTATAATAATTTTATATCTGAGTGTTTTACATATATGACATTTTGTATAATAAACAATTAACTGCCTGCTTTTGACATTTCAAAGTTAATGTGAGGGAAGTTATACAACAGAAACTGTGAGCATCACCTCCCCAAGCAAAGTGGCAAATGGCTATCAGCCTCCAGGTTTGTGAGGCCCGATGACTCCTCACTGCATACCCGAACCTCTCTGCCAGCAGCCAGCAGTTCATTGTCTTTGATAAACAAGATAATTGATATAAATGGAGGTGTTCTTCTCTCAAATGCTTTCCCAATTGCAGGGTTTTCAGGCTGGAGGTATAATTTTCCTTGTGTCCCATTACTGTTAACCTCTAAATGGACAGATTAGTTAATCTGCCTGCCTTTCACGAGAAGACAGTGGGTGACTCACCCCTCTACAAAGCCTTGAAGAAAACATTGGGTGAACTAGGGCACAGAAAAAATGATGAACGGCCACATTGATCATCAAGACCATGGGGATTTTGAGCAGGGGGTTTAGAGCTGGGAATGCAAGAACTATAGCTCAGAGGTAAAGAAGAGGTGTGCCGTCTTCAGAAAGAGGACAGAAGCGCCATGGGCAGCCAGTTCTGCCACACAGACACTGGGCACCACTGAGGAGGTTCAGCAGAGCCATCACGTGCTTGCTTGCTGCTTTATTGGAATGGACTAGGCTTTGCAGAGCCCACTTTACGTCATAAATTAGTATTCAGCCTTCTCAGCCCTCTAGCCTGCTGCAAGTTTGCACCCGGTTGTGAAGTCTGCTCTGAAAAACCTGCCTCCTCATGCGTGTGTGTGTGCACATGTGTGTCTGTCTGTCTGTCTGTCTGTCTGTCTGTCTGTCTGTCTGTGAAATGTGCACATATATATTAAGTATAACAAGGAAGAGTGACTGGGAAAGCCAGTGGTAAGTGCTTGGGAGAGAGTTACATGTAGACCATCCACAACTCCCCAGGGGAAGGTTGTGCAACTCATCACTTAGAATCTTGATGGTTTGAAACCATAATAAGAAACCTTTGAAATGCATTGATCATTCTAGTATTTAGTTTAAAAACCAGTTTGCACTCTGAGCAAGGAAAGCCATAATAAGATGAGATGTCTCCCAGGCCAGTCCTGTGTGGTGGGGTTATCATGCCACCTTTCAGATCCAGCACGCCAAGGGTGTTTTACTGTCCAGTTTAATGTCATCTCTTCACTGAGCGGTGGGCCTCCTCCCGCCTCCTTCCACTTTTGAAAGGTTAGCCTTTCTTCAGAACAGTACAGGTTTCCTGCAACATCTGTCAGCTTGGCAACGAGCACACCCCAAGGAAATGATGAACATTTGAAGACCATCTAAATACTGCAGGGGACCTTTCCCTTTTTTCTCCTCTCCCTTTCTGCTCCTCTCTCTCCCTCCTGTCTTCTAAGGAGAGTGGGACAGCCACCTGGCATTTCTCACTCACTGCGGTGCTGATAAATTATAAGCCCACTTACAGCTGTGATTTTTTTAATGAGTTTTAATTGACTCCTTGCATTGTGATAGCCCTTGGAGCCTGGAAGCAGAGCTGGCCTTGGAAGGCAGCTGTGGGCAGAGGCCTTTGTTTAACGAAGGAGACTGCTTGGCCCTGGACGGTTAGCACAGAGGCTTCTTTGCTCTAATGACTCAGATGATCTTGATCTGATTCAGTAGGTCAGAAATTGCTGTCCCCAGCAAATATCGACCAGCAGGAACTGCTTTCTCGGTTATTCTGAAACTGCCAGCTGCATATTACACTAGCAGGTGCTAATAGTTTTTTGCAGGTCAGTAAAATTGTTATTGGCTCTTCTTCCTTTACCCCGTCCTATACAATCACAAGGTGGCTCATGAGCACACGAATCTCCTTGTGTGACTCTCAGACCTGACTTCCAGGCCCACTCACCATTCCGTGGGGAAGACCTGGCTCTTGATGGCTGGGGAAGGACCACATCATAGGCTCCTTTTTCTGAAACTCAGAATGCTGTGTAAAATTCATCTGACTGAGCGGCTTGTGTCACAGAAGGTGGGGAGGAAGAAGGGTAGCTCTCTTTATCACCCAGTAGAAAACTGAGTCAGAGATGGTTAAATGACTTCCTTAAGATTGCGTAGAATCCTGGTCTGACTGTCAGGGTTAGTTCAGGAGTCCCTGCTTTCGAGCCTTTGCCTTTTATAGTGACTCTGGAGCAGGAGATGGGGGTGAGAGGTGCCGTTTCTCCTTCATGAGGACGGGCAGTCTAGAATGCAGAATCAAGAACTTCCTAAGGGATATGAAAGTGTTTAGAATGTCATTCTAAAATGCTGTCTGCTCTATGTTCCAGAGCACTAACTGCAGACCACTGAAGTAACCAGA